ATGATACGAGGGTGCCAGGCATAAATAACAATGGTAGGCGACAAACTCTCAAAGTCTATTAGTTTTATTTGATTATGGTAAAAGTTATTTTATAAATATAATTATAATTTTCAATATAAATTAAAATAAAAACAGCTTTTTTATTAAATTTACTTGTACACTTAAATTCGTCCCATTGTAAATTATTATTGGCAATAATGGCAAGAATTAATGATAGTGATTAGGAATGTTAATATGGAATTATAAATTATAATATCTCTGAATCCAGGAATTGCAATAAATGCCAGAATCGATCCAGTACGTAAAATATAGGAAAGATTCTGTACGTGGTCTGGTGGCATATGGGCCAGGTTCATCCCCATGGCATATATCTTTCGCCCTAGCATACATTTACTTACCAAGTTGGATTTATGTGAAATATTCAGATTGGGGTCAACTGTACATATGCTGGAAAATATCCCGATGTCCAGATTAGCATCTTATTTGTCTTAATTTGAAGAAAAACTTAAAATTTTTCTTTCAAACAATCCATCTGCAATAGATTCTATTATTGGCTTATAAATTGAGTTTGTCTAATCAATTTTTCGTATATATTTTAAACTTTTAATTCAAAATTATATACTGTTTTACTTTCAACAAAAAATATATAAAATCAAAAAATACCCATTTTTAATATTTATTATAAGCCTTTGTTAGTAGTTTAGATTAATGCACAACCTGTATGTAATTTTACTAAAATCTTGTAATACTTCACAGCTCAAACAAACCACTAAGAACAGGATGATTTCCCTTTGTGGGCATAAAGGGGGATTATATGTTTAACCATACAGATTGTTCAAACTGGTTCAAAATATATAATTCCACGGATTATAAAACTTTGCGAAGGCGAGACACAGGAATTTAACGATTAAAGCCAACCAATTCGATCAAACTATTAGCATCATTAGCGTCCAAAATTCAACGCTGTTAAGTTTGGATATTAACGATTATTATTTTCTCTCTCTCTCTCTCTCTCTCTCTCTCTTTCTCTCTCTCTCTCTTAAACATTCAATTCTTTACCACAAGTTGTATGTATTTTCTTTTGATTCAATTTAGATTTGATGAGTTTAATCAAGGATAATTGTAAATGGATTTTGGAATGAATGTGTAAAAGCTTTTAATCTGATTAAACATGCTGCATGCTTATTTCACCTTTGTATATTGACATTGATTTGGTTCCTAGTTTGCATACAGACGCTGTTTATCACTGAACAGTATATAATTTCAAAGAATTGGGAAAATTAAGTCACATACATTTTAAGTCCTATTGTATGTTTGCCTATGAGACATAGTTGATAACTGAGTCAATAATAGTTCTTAATTATAATATAAATTTTTAATAATAATTAAATTGTTTGTTGTTTATTTTTAAAACTTTATTATTTGTATTGCAGATTATTGAACATATGGGCTATAGGGATCTTCAAATGTATATAGTTTATGTGTGTTTGTGCTGTGCTTGTGTTGTGTCTGAAGTGTTTGTGTCGTGTTTGTGTTGTGTTTATGTTATTACATTAGGATGAACGTAATTTATTTGTTAACCCCGCCCCGAGGAATATCGAGTACTCTGGGGTGAGTGTGTGATGTCTGGGGAGCAAAAGTAAGTTATTAGCGCGAATGGAGTGGGTTCGACCCCGCCCCGAGGAATATCGAGTACTCTGGGGGAGTGAATGTGACCAGACTTTTATGTTAGTATTGTATGTTGTTTATATTTTACTCTGTTGGAATGAATGTAATTTAAGCATGAAAGGAAGGGGTTATTTACCCCGCCCCGAGGAATATCGAGTACTCTGGGGTGAGTGTGTGACGTCTGGAGAGTAAAAGTAAGTTATTAGCGCGAATGGAGTGGGTTCAACCCCGCCCCGAGGAATATCGAGTACTCTGGGGGAGTGAATGTGACCAGACTTCTATGTTTGTGGCGATATATATGTTATGTATTGTATGTTGTGTATCTATTCTTAAATTGACAACCTGAGGTACTAACAAGAGGCTAGCTTTTTAAAATAACGACGTAATATACAAGTAAAAGCAGAGAGTCAGTAACCAGATCGAGATGCTCAAATGGCTGCAGTTCAATACAAAATACGCGAGAAAGACAGGAAAGAGAAGGAATACATGCGGAGGGCCGGCGATGACCTCAGCTGTTTGTCGGCCCATAAACCTTCCACTTTATATATATATTGAACATATATATATTTCATTTTTTATCAAAGCGTTTTCGACCCCATAAAATGAGTACTCTTCAGTGATACTTTACACTTGTCTATCCTATACAAAAATTAAGAATGGGTCCATCTACTGGTACAAAGACGGATCTAGAAAGCAAGAAGGTTCGGCCCTGGAACCAAATATTCAGAACCCATGGGAAAATACACCAATATCTTCCAAGGTGAGGTCCATGCAATCGAGAGATGTACCCAACTCAATCTGAATCAAGGGTACAAAAACAACAATTTAGCTGTCATGTCGGATAGCCAAGCAGCCATCAAAGCGACAAGTTCAAACACCATTAGCTTAAAGATGTTGTTGAATTGCAAAACCAAACTAAACAAATTAGGAATGCAAAACAGAGTCAGCCTATGCTGGGTCCCAGGACATGTGGGAATAGAGGGCAGCGACAATCCAAAGAACCTCCGATATATTCGTGTTGCTTGGATAAACAAAATAGAAAATACAAACCAAAAACAAACATGGTCGTACATGTGTATAATCATTGAATTATCATTGAAAGGGAAATAAACTACCTCCTCCATTGATATTTTGACATCAAAGATAAAGTTAAACATGATTATGCAGTCACTAAAAGAAAATTTACCCAAGGAGGAAGTCATTACTAAAAAGAAGTTTCGAAAACATCCAAACGAGAGTTTGCCAAAATCTGACACCGGTCAGAGTCATTCTTTGTCGGAATAAAATCGTCTAGATTGAAATCCCTTATCTGCTTTGTACCTCATTAGTTTAAAACTTTTTAAATTAAGGACACCTGTAACATAAAAAAAAAAAAAAATATGATTAGGTATTCGTCGTTGAAAGTAGACAATTTCCGACAGGTTCGTCCAAGGAATATTCTACCATTTTTGCAGAAAGAAAATGATGATGGAGATGGAATCGTGCTTTCAACGAGGGAATTTGGACGCAAGCCGAATAAAAAAGAAAGACTAAAAGAAGAGCAAGAAGAAGCAAAAGAAGAACAAGAAGAAGCAAAAAAGAAGAACAAGAAGAGCCATCGATATTTTGCTGCCCCCCAAAAAGTTTTTTTTTTGTTGTTGTTTTGTTTATGCATGTATATGTTGTACTAGAGTCAGATTATTTTTTTTATTGGAAAATTAAAATAGACACTGGTGTTAGCTCGATTTCATTTTGGGGTCAGTTTTATTTTGTTCAATTTTTTCAATTTTGTGATGTTGGCAAGGATTTAATTTTATTTTCTATTTTTAATTAATTGTTAATTTTTTTCCAAATGCAGTTAATATCATTTGACCACCAGTTCTTTTTTACTTTTAAATTCTTTCTTTCAGTTTTAAACCTATTTCTACATTGAGGGATCCACGAAGCCATAAATAGTGTGAGTCTTTTGGAATAGAAATAGAAAACACTTTTTAGTAAGTTATTATACGCGATTGGATATTCACTTTTTTCTATCTGCATCATCGGTTTTCTACTAGTACTATTTGGATTTCTAAGCAGGATATTTAATGAAGTATTTATAACACTGTCATTGTGCAGTGGCAGTCCACATGCTTTTGTTTTTGTTCCAGTAAACTGTACTCTGTATTTAAAAAAAAAAAATAAAAATAAAAATAAACGTGTGGTGTTTAGTGACCGCTAGTTAATGATTATTTGGAGATCGTGAGATGCGGACTGGTGTGACGTAGGTTTAGAAAAACATTTTCTTTATCGTGGAAACGTTTCGATCTTTATAGAGATCATCTTCAGGGCTATAAGTGTTTGTTTTCTGCGCAGATGTGTCATTCTTGCGTGTCGTGTTGGGAGTGCCACGTACGTCAGACCAGACCGCATCTCACCATCTCCAAATAATCATAAAACATAAACTACGCCTCCAAAGAGTAGAGTCTGGAAGTATTTCAATCGAGTTGAACATAATCTAACTTTTTCATGTTTTTATTAATGAATTTTTTTATATTTTTGGTTTTTTCTTCAAATATCGATTGGTTTGATGTCGATGTCCCACCCTAGACCCTCCGGCTTTATTTACATCAGGGATTAAGGTTATTGGGCATCTCAGGTAGAGGTAGATCGTCTCAATTTGCCCCTTCGTTTTGTCTTCGTTTAGCGCCATCTTGGAAACTCAGATCTTACTCCTTAAAATCCTGACTAGTCCACTTTAAAAATCTAAGGCTTACTTTATAGATTTTTCTTTTGTCTTTTGAATTTGAATAAAACAACTTTTGTTTTTCCAACCTATCGCTTTCAATTTTTTTACACGTTAAAATATTAAAATTAATTTATTTTACTATTTTAATTTATTGAAAAATGTTTTATTATTGAAATTTCTTGTTTATATTGTATAATAATGATAATAACCTTTTCATAATACAAAAGGAAAATTATGTTCAAATTGTAAATCATTTCTTATGTCCCTGGGGCTGTTGGTCTCTATTACATTCCACTTTTTATTAAACAGAGGTAACTGTAATTGTTTGATGAGCCAGTAAATACTCGATGGTACCAAATTCCACGCTTCTTGTCTTAAACTTCAGCCGATTAGAATTTGCTTTCATTTATACCAGCTCACTTCTAAATTCTGAGTAACGTTTCTTAAATCGAAGTAAGCATTGATGGATGGGTATTACACGTATGACAAAGGTCTAATAAAGACGGTCCCGTCCTCTTCTAATGAACAAGGAAGGTGAGCTACGTATTGCCAATCAATGGGTCCGCGCGTCCGCGCGAGGATCATGCGCTCGCTGACGGAAGGGTAGGTGGTACTCGGGGGTGGTTTCCAGTCTTACCCCGACTTTCGACAGGCTCGCTCGACTTGTTTTGTTTTGTTTGTCTAGCTTTCTCGACGTCTAGACGGTAAGTGGCGATTATTATTTTCCATGAGAGAACGGCTTAGGAATAGCAATTTGAACATTTTACCCAAAAGAGGCAATGCTTATTGTGTCGCGACATAAAAAAAATATTTTATTATATATATAAAAATGATTATGTCCTGAACCTCTTATAAAAAATATACAAAATCATATTTTTTAAAAATTTGTCTTTAAAGGTATAACGCTTTGATAATTTAGTTTGATTATAAAACTCTTTTGGCTCAAAGATACTGAATAATTATACAAAAATCAAGAGTTTTTTTTTTACAAAATATCAGTCATAAATACAACAACTTTCATTCTAAAAGAGGTTAAACTTATAAAATCAATTTCGCTTAATTCTAGGGAAAGGTTTATACAGTTTGTCAATACGGGGCAAGTTCGAATTTAATCACATTAATTTACGATAAGAATCAATTCAAATTTACTTAGCAAGAAGAGTAAAGGCGGTTAAAAGTTTCTTAAAGTGTTTTTAGTAACTCTTTAAATCGTTATTATAAATTAATAATTAATTTTAATTAATGATTAATTGTAATCATCCCTCAACGTTAGTAAAATTTGTTTGTGATATAGTTAAATAGGATTTGTTACAACGAATAAAGGGTTAGATTGAAGTAAAAGTAACCGATTGTCATTGTAAATTTTTAAATAAATAACTAACAAGTCTGTTTATCAAGTTTTTCTTTTTTATTTTATTATCATGGCAGTAGAAATAAAACTACCTCCTCCATTGATATTTTGACATCAAAGATAAAGTTAAACTTGATTATGCAGTCACTAAAAGGAACTTTACCCAGGGAGGAAGTCGTTACTAAAAAAGTCACGAAAACATCCAAACGAGAGTTTGTCAAACTCTGACGCCGGTCAGAGTCCATCTTTGTCGGAATAAAATCGTCTAGATTTAAATCTATTATCTGTTTTGTTAAATGTTTTTTGGAATGACAATAGAAACTACTTTTTAGTAAGTAAATAATTCACGATCGGACATTCAATTTTTCTATCTGTATCGTCGGTTTTCTATTCGTACTGTTATTCTATGGGATTGTCTTGTTTTGATTTCCATTTTGCAGAGAAAAAGCAACTTTTTATAAAACTATTTCTTGCAATTTTACATTCTAGGGTAGATTATCTACTTTATGTACATTAATTTCTGACATCCATTGACATACAATAGAGTAATTTAAAAAGTAAAAATCATTTTGATAATTCAAAGGGTCATGATTTTTTTCTCTTAGCTTTTTTCGATTTATTTGCTTTAATTACACAAAATAACATTGGATTTTATTGTTGAATACCCCTTCGCTGATTTTGTACTGCTTAGTATGATGTGGCAAGCGTTTAGCATGATGTACCCTAACGAGCTTGTAATTACAAATCCAGTTATGCTGTAAACCGATTATTTTATTTCACAACGTAACAAACTGACCACTTTCACATTGAAAATGAAAACGTTTTAATGTTTTATTTGATTCATACTTCGAATTTAATTGTTAATTAATAAAAACATAACGGCTTGGAGATACTTGTTGCATGGATCAACGTGAGGGCCAGGTTAATTCGTATTGAATAGAGGAGAAAACTTGGACATACTTCGGACCGAAGGGCAAAATTAACCCGTCGGGCTGGAATTCGGTGGAGTTCTATGTAACTTTCTGCAAACAACCGGTACAAGTTTATGGGGATTAAGCGTAGGAAGAACATCGTTTTAACAAGATGTGTGCCACCTCTTCGGAAAAAACGTTCTCTTAAAATTTCGATTTTTTTAGATTGGTTTTTCTTTTAACACGTTGAACACGTGTGAATCAATCATAATCTGTTTGGATTATCAAAGCTATGTTTGACTTATTCAGATCTTTTGTCTTCGTCCTTCAGACAACTCCTACGCCTTACATCAATCGTGCGATAAGCCCCTTAGTTGAAGAAGAGTCGAGGGATAAACTCTGCCTTCCCTCGAACTTTTATCCACCAGTCTTTCCAATCAAATTCTTTTTGATATTAGGCTTGTTAATATAGCAAAAAGGTGTGACTCTTCTATTTGCAAAAGAAAACCCTGGTAGAAAACTTGTGTCAAATTTAATGAAATTGGAGTTCAAGAATAGAATTTCAAATTTTATAAACCCGCTGAACGTTTAACATACCTGGAAAGCTTGTTTTATCCGAAGAATTTGGGTTTTGAATCACGTAAAATCTGGCCAATAGGGGAAATTTAATTAGCTTTTAATAGCATTAATATTGAATGGACATTTTAACTGTTTACAAGTTTTGAGATATTATTAACCCTTTATTCCCTTTTAACCCTCGTACTTTTATAAAATTGATACATTTTATTTAATCCGCTATTTAAAATTGTTATACTAAATAATACAAAATGTATTTTTTATGACTTTTACTCCACTGGAAAGAATTATATTCATTCTATGAGAACTGTTAACTAACTATTTCGTTGTCTTGTAAATTTTCTATCATGATTTAACCTGAAAAAATCCAATAAATGTTATAAATAAAATAAATAAATAATTAATTTATAATGTAAGTTATTATGCTTTAAATAACCAATAATAAGACATGTTTATAATGTTTAGTCACTACGCGGTTTGATTACAATTGAATTTTCCAAAATTCATGGCCACTGTAACAAGCAAAGGAACAATTTTCCGAGTAAAATAACTAAATAATCTTTATTTATATTTACATATTGGTGTTTACGTAAATAAAATGTACCCAAAACATTAAAATATGTAATATATAATATATATTTCATTTACAAATATGAAAGATATAAGTAAGGACTACTAACTATAGATAGATATGTACATATGTAGAGAAATATAAATAGACATAGAAAGTGAGAGTGAGAGAAAGAGAAAGAGTGAGCGAGAGAGAAATAGAGAGGGACAGAGAGAGAAAGAAAGAAAAAGAGAGAAAGAGAGAGAGAGAGAGAGAGAGAGAGAGTAAGAGGGTGGGAGGGAGGGAGGGAGAGAGACTAGAAATAAATAGAGATTAACTATCGTCACAAGTGATTTCAGAGAAAACAAAAAATATTATAGCGAGCAAAGAGAGAAGGATGGTGAGAGAAAAAAGAGAGAGAGATAAAGGGAGAGAGAGAGAGAGAGAAGAGAGAGAGAGAGACAGTGAATTAATTAATCATTAATTTTTTCGTGTTGAATATGTCCTGTTTTCATATTTTATGTATGTCCTTGTACAAGATTGAGTTGTTCATGTTTCGTGGTGGTTTTGTGTGGTGAGTCGCGTAGTTTGATTTTTCGTCGTTGACATGTGACATAGAAAAAGGTCAAAAGAATTTATTTGGGTGATTTTCCCATTAAAATTTTGATATTTGCTATTGATGCGCCTTAACGGGAGTCCAAGTATACAGTTCCGCAAAACTTGTAAATGTTACGGAAGTGTTGGGCTTCTAATAAACTAGATGAAAGATGGTTGAAGTTCGGATTAGGGAGAGAGCGAGAGAGAGAGTGTGTGTGTGTGAGAGAGAGAGAGATAGAGAGAGAGAAAGAGAGAGAGAATGGGAGGGAGAGAGAGAGAGAGAGAATGAAATAATCTCTAAATATGTCAAGTTGTGGGTTGGATTGTCGTAGGTATCTTAGAAGGATCTCGCAGTCTGTTCGAAGTTGTGTAAATTACATTAGTCTTAAAATCCGTCTAATAAATAGGTAATTTGGGTGTTATAAGCTTTTTTAGTTTCTGGAAAGTTGGTACGTGGAAATCGAGACATACTAAATCTCACCATTCAATCCTATACGTCGTCTTCTGATGCCAATGACATAATGACCGTCATATGTGATATAAGGAAGTCTCCGGTCTCATGGTACCAAAGAAGGCGGATAAAAATCTCTTTTTGACCTAGTCATAGGTACTATTGTGAAATATTCTGATACAATTGGTTTTTCAATATTCATTGGAAAAAAACGACATGAATCTTTATGTACTGTTTAACAAGCAACAAAGTTTCATAAAACATAAACATTGTACATAATTGTCTTGTCTTCGTGACCGTACATTTAAAAAAATATAACACTGTACACGTAAAAATGCAATAATACCCACTGGGTAATATAGTCAAGATGTCAAAGGTAAATGAACTTTTTTATTGCAAAAGTTCTACTTTATTCTATTTGAAATATAATTTCCATTCACAACTGTGTTGTTTAGTCGAATGCTGTTAAAAACAACTATTAACTTTTCTGTAATTGATTAGATTTTATTTTTTTCCAATTCAATTTTCAACTTTTTCAGAGGAAAAACCTTTTCCATTGATGTAAAATTCATAGGAGGTTTAGAGTAAAAATGATTAAGTCGACTTCTTTAACCCAAACATTTTGCAATATATCTCAAGGCATAAAATTGAAAAAAAGGATATTAAATTGAATTTTCAAAATTGCGCTTAATTATCGGAAATATGTCCCGGGTCGCATTAAGAATAACAACCTATATATTGGCTTTGTAGGATAATTATATGGAAAACTGAACTAATGAGGTGTACATTAATTAATTAATGAAAGCATAAAAGTTAATCAAAGTTTTTCTTAAATGTAAACAAAAAATCTTCTTTAAAATAATTAACAGTAACCACGGTGAATTATTTATTTATAGGCTTATCACGGGTCATTCATTTCTAAATTGTTTTGTTTTTCCACTAGTCGATCACTCGTCTTAAAAATCGAATGTTATTCTGGGTTCGTTTTCGTCGGTTTGAATAATGGACGGCTGTCAAGATAACAAAGCTGAATTACTGGCAAAAATTGAAATCAGGCAAGTGAAATATCATGCTTTTTATGCGCGCCTCTTTATATAAAACACGTTTACAATAATCGGGAATTGTTTTACGGTTTTACGAAGCGGAACAGAAACAATATTTTTGTATTTACTTTAATTTTTGTGATGGCCAGTTCGTGCAAAAGAGCAAGCAAATACGACGTCCTGAGTACGCCGGATATAATTTGTATTTATTGATCAAAAATGTCT